AGACAGTGGGCATGCAATGTACAATGCGGAACCGAACATCTACCTTCAGAGGCCAGGTCTGCCAGTAGTGAGCGCTGGTTAGCACAAAGCAGTACTCATCTTCAGGAGCCCACTCTTGGGTTGTGGTGGGACTGCATCAATGACACCTTGGGGTACAACTTGCGTTCTGTGGAGACTGTTGAACCTACCCTGAGGAACATTTATAAAACATTGGCGAGTCAGTACGACCCTTTAGGGTTCATAACGCCATTCACTACTAGAGCCAAGGTTATCATCCAGGACCTCTGGAAGCACAACCTTGGTTGGGACGACCCCGTAGAGCCATCACCTCTCAGAAATACTTGGCTCACCTGGGTAGTAGAATTCCCTACACTTACCAAGATATAGTTCCCTTGGGCATATACCCCGGCCTCTGCTGACAACCAATCGGCTATACGAGAGCTTCATGTCTTCAGTGATGCGTCGGAAAGAGCCTATGGTTCAGTGGCCTATCTACGCACCACCGATGAGCAAGGACAAATCCATATTACCTTTGTCTCGGCCAGGTCTAGAGCCGCGCCTCGCAAATGCCTATCTTTGCCACGTTTGGAGTTATGTGCTGCCCTTACTGGGGCGCAATTGGGGAAAGTAATCCAAGCTGAGTTGATGCTACCAATCCACAAGATCACTTTCTGGTCTAATTCTACAACAGTGTTGTATTGGTTAACATCCGAATCGTGAAACTACAAAGTGTTTGTAGGGACACGGGTGACAGAAATACAGAATTTAACAGAGATGGCTGAGTGGAAGTACTGTATGTTGAGTCAAATCACAACCCTGCCAACCACATCACACAAGGCCTTACCCTGACAGAGATAGCAGGCCCCCATCAATGGAGCTTAGGTCCAGCCTTCCTGATCCAGTCACCTGATCAATGGCCATCAATGCCTAAAACTAAAGCTGAACCTGATTGCAATGAGCTAAAAAAAAAATCAGCCTCTATCGGACCTGCTTCAGTACCCAGTGTTTCTCTACCAGTTCCAGTCATCTTTCACACATGGCAAGAGCTCGTTCAGGCCACTAGTAGATCCCTACATGGGGCGGCTGCCGACACAGACTCCCCTAAAAAGGCTTCTGAGTATATTGAAGCGGAAAAGTTACTTCTGGCACAGGCTCAGATGGACTCCTTTCCTATGGAAGTTAAACATCCAAAGGCTAGACATCCTGTTTCACCAAACAGTCACTTAAGCTCACTTGCTCCAGAATATGATGATGCTACTGGTCTCATTAGAGTGGGCGGGCAACTACGACGTGCTGGTGATTTTGACTTGGAGGCCATACACCCAATCGTGTTAGACCCTAGCCATCAAATTACAAAATTGTTGATTAAAGAAACGGACCAACAACTCCTTCACCCTGGCTCAGAGAGGGTTCTGGCAGAATTGCACCGCCAGTATTGAATCCTTCGAGATCGACAAGCAGTTTGTAAGCATCAGCATACCCGTCAAGATTGTCGGATATGGTGAGCCAAACCTCAAACTCCACGAATGGCAAATCTCCCCCCTGTAGATTAAATCGGTATAAGCCACCATTTTATTCTACAGGTGTGGACTGCTTTGGACCATATGCAGTCAAGATTGGACGCCGACAGGAGAAAAGATGGGGGATCATTTACAAATGTCTAACAACACGTTGTGTACATCTGGATCTGTTGGAGCATATGGACAGTGATGCTTTCCTTCTTTCCCTGCGCCATTTTATAGCCCGACGAGGCAAACCTATGGAGCTATTGTGTGATAATGGCACCAACTTTATCGGAGGTGATCAGGAGTTACCTAAATCCTTTGAGGCCATGTCACCAAAGCTACAGGAACAGCTGGCACAGCAGAAAATCAGGTTTCACCATAACCCCCCAAATGCTCCTCACTTCGGAGGGACTTGGGAGCATGAGATAAAATCAGTTAAGACTGCACTCCAAGTAATCCTCAGAGAGCAGTCAGTGCCAGAACCAGTTCTGAAAACCCTTCTGGTGGAAGTGGAAAACATTCTAAACTCCAAGCCACTCGGATACGTATCTTCAGATATTGCGGATGTAGACCCTATGACTCCTACTGCTCATGGGTCGCCGAGATGCCTCGCTACCCCAGGTCTTGTATGATTTTAGTAACCTGCTTGGAAGACGAAGATGGAGACATAGTCAGGTGCTAGCAGATTGTTTCTGGGCTACCTTTATCCGTCAATACCTACCAAGCATGCAAGGGCGTCAAAAGTTGATAACAGATGGGAAGGAACTGGTAGTAGGACAAGTTGTACTTAGGGTAGATCCACGGCTTCCATGTTCCCATTGGCCTGTAGGAACTGTAACAGAGGCTTTACCTGGAGCTGATGGCCGCATTCGAGTGGTCAGAATCAAGGTTAAGGACAAAACATACACTCGTCCAGTCGTGCAACTCATCCCACTTCTTCCTCTTGAGGACAATGACACAACCACCCCTGACAGACTTTCTTAATGTTCAATTATCTCTTCAGATAATTGGGGGCGGCTGTGTCAGAAAGCCTGCTTGATGGACTAGGAACTAAAGTTTGTTGCATGTTTCTAGTGGGGACAATTAGTTTATGGGACCTGCTGTTATGTTCTCCATCACTGCTCCTGCTTATGTTGTGTTTTCTGTAATGTGTTCATTTTATACAAACCATTACACCTTATCCATTACTCACTACCATTACCCATAATCGAGCAATCTGATGATTATGTTGGAGAAAATAAATGTTTCAAACGTCAACATTTCTCCTGCCCTCCTGATTCTCTGACCGGAATCTGGTCCATATTTGACCGCTTCAACCAGTAGAAAATCTACATGTAATAAGGTTTACTACATTAGGGCACTACATTCTTGACTGGATGACTATTAATGGCTGATGAAAACACTTTTATTGTGCACCGTGGCCATCTGGAATACATGGGACTGGCTGTCTGTTCACCCCAGGTAAAAACCGGGAAATAGGATTAGGGTGTGTCCTGTGGGTTGCGGAGGGTGGGACACATCTCACAACCCAAGCTGCCGAAATATGACAAAAATAGTTTTACACTTTTTGCTCTACTATGAAATTAAATACAACAAGTGTCTGATTGGACTTTATGTCTGAATGGTTCCTAGCACCGATGAAACATTCTGGGCGCAACTGACCAGCTACGGGCCCACTGCACTGCGTTTATAGCGTGCATCCAGAGATCTTGCATCAGTCTGAAGGATCAAGTTATGAATGTCCCTTCAAAATAAAAAAGTCATGGCACTACATTTAGGCAGCATGACTGTTAAAAGACCAAGAGTTCATAGACTAGTAGTGGCAAAGTTGCCAGTTAATGCACAGTCTGCATGCTGAACAATAAGGAAATGACTGCCCATGTAAGACAGCATAAATGTTGGGGCACCATATTCTTGTCTGGATGTCTATCAATGGCTTATGAGAAAACTATTATTGTGCACCTTGGCCATCTGGAACACATGGGACAGGCTGTCTGTTCACCACAGGTAAAAACCAGGAGATAGGATTAAGGTGTGTCCGGTAGGGTTGCGTTGGGTGGGACAGACTGCTCTTGTAAGAAAATAAATATAACAATTGGCTAATTGGCCTTCATGTCTGATCGGTTCCTAGCTCCTGTAAAACACTCTGGGTGGAAATGACCAGCTACGGGCCCACTACACTACATTACATCGAGTTGACGCCAAAGTTTTTTTTGGCAAAGTTTTTTTTTTTTTTTTGCTTTAAGATTTCTCTTTAGTTATTTAAAGGGCCATGAAACCCCTTCGTTTCAGCAGGGTGTTTTCACACCTCTACTTTGGAAAAAGTCAGAAAAGTGGGTGTGTCCAGCTCTGTTTAGGGGGGAGTGTCGAAGGAAGAAAAGGGGGATGGTGTGGGAGTGTCTATTTGGGCACGTGCGAGTTTCAGAGTCAAAATTCACACACACACAGTAGAAAGTGATGGTGTTTAACCTACATGGACATCTGTAGTCGAATTATTTGCCAAATTATTAAATGGTGGACTTTAACTGCAGTTTGGCTCTTTCATTCAGGGAATTCATTCATGCCCCTCGCGACAAACGAGATATTTGATTCGAGGAGCTGCTCTAAGCGTGTATTTTTCATGCAATGTTTGATACCGCACGGCGAATGAGAGAAAAAAAACCTCCGCATTTCCTAGAAACTTAGATGCACACGGCAGGTAGTGTCAGAAAGCCGCGTGTGTTATTCTGGTCACTAAATGCGGTAAAAACCCTACACGAGGTTAAAGTTTGGTTGTGGTGCTAACGTGTTTACACCCGGTGCAATAGTTAAACAAAGAGCACTGGTCACTCACTTACCAAATCTGTAGAGACAGGACAATCACCAGCAACTTGAGCCGCGTCTTTATGAAGAGAATACTAAAAGCGAATCCGGATCTCAGCGTTTGCAGATGAGAACAGCTCTCAGGTAAACAATGTTCCTCCTTAGACACGCAAGTTATTGTTGTCGAGCGTCGCGTACACTGTTAATCCACACGTGAGTCTGAGCTCTCACAGAGAGAAAATGAAAACGAAACTTAACTGCAGCAAACTATAAAAGCAACACTTCATGCTTGTTTTGCCAACACAACGTGGCGTCTCTGTCCTGTAAACACGGTGATAGTAATGAATATTAATGAAGTTGCACAATAGAGCACGCTGATTTGTTTGAACCAAGCCTTACTCATGCATTAATGCATCACACTGTAAGACGTAATAAGACACACTCTGGCACAGACACCCAGTCTGCACGCTGGAATACAACGCTATTATGTAATGACCGTGACGCAGCTTCAAAAATTCGTTTCAAACCGGAAGTACGAATTTGCTTGAAATAACGCAAAAACAACCAATTTACACTTTTTAGTGAAATATGTGTCCTAATAGCGTTTTTAGCAGTGTGGGACACATATACGACTGTCAACAGCTCAAAAAATGTGTTTTGGTGTTTCGTGACCCTTTAAAGGTGTAAACTTACCCATATTTAAATTGTTCTGATGCATCACTGAATCGAGGAGGTTCAGCCATAGACCTGTCACTCTTTAAAGACACATAGCTTGATATTGTAGATGACAGTCTCCGATGGTGAACAGCACAGACTTCTACTTTTTCTGAAAGACTGAAAATACATATAAAAAAAGATACATAACTACGACTTAAGACTACAGGTTAATATATACACATTACAGAATGCTTTTAACAGTAGTTTTTGAGCTTAGCATGTCAACAATGCATGAGATTTTCAACTGAACAGCTATATTACAGAACAGCTTTAAAGTTAGTAAAGCAATTACAAAGAAGACCACCTAATGTATCTATTCTTTATCAATTTTAATTAATTACTGAAAACCATAGAGAATCAAAAATGTATATGTATGTATGAACTAGGCATGGGACGATAACCGTGTTCAAGGTATACCGCGGTTTGGAAGAGTCAAGGTTTTGAAACCGCCAACATTTTCTGCAATACTGTTCCCAGGGGCGGACTGGCCATCTGGCAATTCTGGCAAATGCCAGAAGGGCCGGACCATTTTTTTAAATGTGGGCCGGTCAGTTTTTTATTTTTATTTTATTATTATTTTTTATATGTATTGTTTTTATATGCAGGCAGCTTTTATCTCGTGCAACATGTGAATATTATGATGACGTTGATGATGGTAATAATAGTAATAATAGTAAATAATAGTAAAATTAATAGTAAATGTTAAGCATTTGGCCCAATCGGTGATAGTTTCGAAAGGGGCCGACTCAATCAAAGGTTACGCGGACATAATCAAAATCTGGCAAGAATGTCAAACAAACAGTACGTATGGTAATGTGGGCTGGTGTGGCTATGGTGCCAGGGCTGAATTTTTGTCCCAGTCCGTCCCTGACTGTTCCTAAGATATGTGTAAGATTTTTTTATTTACATTTTTGTTTAGTTTTGTTTTTTAAGACAACAGTATCTCCAGCAGAAAGAAATATCTAAAGATGCTGTTTTAAATAGTAAAGAAATGTGTTTTTAAAACTAATGAAGACAGCAGAAGTCAATGATTAATTTTTAATTGTTTAGCCGGACATGTTTACTGTTTTAAAATATTATAAAAATATATATTTTTTAATTTTCTATATTGTTCTAACCAAGACACTTGAAAACAATATATTTTAGAGCTGTAATCACAATACTATGATACCGTGAAACTGATATTTTTATCCAAGGTTATCATACTGTCAGAATTTTATACCGGCCCATATTTAGTATGAACTCACCTGGACTGCAAATGTTGAGCTACATGACTAAATTTAGGAGGTTCAGCCATTGATCTGTCACTCTTTAAAGACACATTGCTTGGTAGAGATGATGCTGCACCCTGGAACTGGTAGTGAACAGCACATTTCTGCTCCTCTTTCTCTGAATGACTGCAATGCAGAAATTGCTAACTGTTATATTAATAATACAATTTATTAAATAGTGCATAAATATTTAAAGTGACTATACTCTAAACAAAATAATCCAAAAAAATCATATAATCACGAAAATTACAGTTATTCAACAATCGTTTTTTAAATGTTTATTATGAAAGGATTTTTCTGACACATGATCACTTTTACAGAGGTGTATTCAGCTGGACTCACCTGAGTGGAAAATGTTTCGCTTCGTCACTGAATTTAGGTGGTTCAGCCATTGATCTGTCACTCTTTAAAGACACATAACTAGGCACTGGAGATGATGCTTTCTCGAGCAAATTATGGATCCCACTCTCTTCCTCTTTCTCATCAGTAAAACTCATTTTACACGCAGTACCGCACTCCTTCTCTCTCCCCAAAAAGACACTGGACTTTGACGAAAATGATTTTTCTTCCTCCATTATAAGCACAACTAAGTTACGCGAAAAGATTTAACGTTAGGCGATACACAGCACAGTTGAACACCACGAGACAAATAAGTTACTATAAAAAAATCACCACGAGACTTCTTTGCAGAGCTTATATTTCAAACTAAAAGTCATGACTGTATATTTTCCTCATAGCGGTTAATGATTAACGTTATGCAGCACTAACGTCAAACGGGGAAACGTACAACTGAAGGAATCCTGTGTATATAAGTCTGGACATGGATGTGTTTTGTTTTGGTCTAAAGTACTCTCAACAGTATTAAATGACACCACATTTTAATGTAACGTTAATAAGAATGTATACGACTTGCTGGTTAAACTAGTTAAGTTCATAATTACCTTTAACTTTTCCTTAATTCGATTGTGTTTGTTAAGTGTTAGCATATACCGTCCTCTTTAAAAGTTCATAAGTGTTAAAGATGAAAAACCTGCTCATGTTTGTTTCTATAGTACAGTTAACTGGACACGTCCGGTTTACTAGTCGGTTAAAAGTGGCTTACATTATAGAGCCCTCTAAAGGCAACAACACGTAATAGCATGTAGATTAACGTTACGTAAAAAGCAATGCACATTCTGTGAACAAATATATGAGTATTATTTTTAGTCTTCATCAGGCCTACAGTATCATAGTGTTTGAGAGATGAGCTAAATGATGCAGTGCCAGCATTTTAACTCTGACTAATAATTATTAGTCAAATTCATGACAATATTAATTTATTAATAATTTACTATAAAAACATGTATAAAAACAATATTATTCATTAATTTTCTTTTCAGCTTAGTCCCTATTAATCTGGGGTCATCACAGCGGAATGAACCGCCAACTTATCCAGCATATGTTTTATGCAGCGAATGCCCTTCCAGCTGCAACCCATCTCTGGGAAACATCCATATACTCAATTTCACACACTACGGACAATTTAGCCTACCCAATTCACCTGTACCACATGTCTTTGGACTGTGGGGGAAACCGGAGCACCCGGAGGAAACCCACGCAAATGCGGGGAGAACATGCAAACTCCACACAGACATGCCAACTGACCCAGCCGAGGCTTTAACCAGCGACCTTCTTGCTGTGAGGCGACAGCACTACCTACAGTGCCACCGCCTTGCCACACAATTTAATATGTCTATTAAAAATATGTTTAACAAAAGAATTAAAAATAAATTTCTTTAATCTGGGAGATGTCTCTTCAATTTAAGTCGGTTTAACCAAGACTCTGAAGACTCTAAAGGTTCATAAAAAGATACGAACAGAACTAGCGAATTTTAATTTCCTAACCAGCAAATTTTACCTTGACCTTGACCTTGACCAGAACATCCATGTATTTCTTTTTATCCATATAATATACAAACACATGCATCTCAAATGGCCTGACAACACATGAATCTTAACAATCCTAACACATGTGCATTCATTCATTCATTCATTCATTCATTCAAGGATTTTCCTTCGGCTTAGTCCCTTTATTATTCAGGGGTCAGGTCGCCACAGTGGGATGAACTGCCAACTTATTCAGCATATCCAGCCGAGGCTCGAACCAGCAACCTTCTTGCTGTGAGGTGACAGCGCTATCCACTGTGCCACCACGCCGCCCGCAACCAATCATGAAAAAGGATATTTTAGATAGCTGATTATTACTAGTTCTGCTTCTCCTTATTGAGAACCAGAAAGTAGCAATATGGAAATCTCACAATAACTTTCTAATGACCTAATAACTAGGAAAAATCAGCAACTTGAATTAGGACAAGGATACAAACTCTCACAAAGGTTCAAAGGTTCTATCTTTACCGTCAAAAATATATAGAGAAATTTAGGCCACAGGAACAGTTCTTATGAAGGAAATATGTGTTAGACCAAGAAAGATATTTTAAAGGCAAAGACGAAGAATGGTTAGAATGGTCACAAAACACCTCCAAAGAGCTCCAGACATCTCGCTTCTGATAATGTCATTGTACATGATTCCACAGTATAGCGCACTCTTCACAAAGAACAGCTCAATGGAAGGGTGATGCAGAAAAAAAAAACTTTTTTTTACCAGTATTTGACTCTTGAGAAAAAAAAAATCTGGAATCTGTCAAGAGGCTGAAGGTACTTCAGGGTTTGATGCTTCAGCAGGACAATGACCCAAAGCACAACTCCAGATCTACCAAGTAATTTATGCTCGGACATAATACAATATTCTAGAATGACCATCCCAGTCCCCAGACTTGAACATTATCAAAAACCTATGCACTGATTTGAAAAGGGCTCTTCATGCCACGTGAATCTGACTGAATTGGAAATATTTTGCAAGAAAGAATGGTTCAAAATGCCTTCAGCTAAAATTCAGGGACTTATCCTTGGCTACAAGAAGCATCTACAGGCTGTTATTTCAGCAAAAGATGGCTCTGCAAAATTTTGATATCATTATTCAGTTGGGGTGCCCAAATTTATGCACCTGTCTGTTTTAGTTTGCATCTGTTCATTAAATAAGTGTTATGTCAGAACTGAAGTGTTGCTTTTCCATATGGGTATAAAATATATTCAAAAGAAGTTGCTGCTGTGCATAAAACTATATATTTAAAGTTTCTTAGTGTTTCCACCACTGATTTGGTAAATCTTGTACAATTGGAAAATCCTCAGATGCAGTACAACAGGTCATAGAATTTAACTACGAACACAGTTTTTCTTTTTACGAAAACATGTACTGTGTGTTCACAGTAAGTGCACAATAAAAAAGTTTCATATAATGCTGTTACCATCTGGGTATATTTACCATAAATATCATCCTAGAATTTTATATAATCCAAATGTACAAATCTTATTTTCAAAACAAAGTAAAAAGAAAGAGAGCATCGAAGAAACTTTGTATTATTGCATTATTGTATAAAATTTTCTTTCTAATGCACATTATTTGTTGCTTCTATGTTACATGTTGTCCTGCTAACAGTTAAAACTACACTTCCACTAAATTATCAAGCAATGGAACTCACTGGGCCATTTGTAGCTTGTGATGTTTATTCCTTTAAGACACTTGGCTTTAATATGATGCAATCAATTGTGTCTGGTATATCATCACCACGAGGTGGAGCCAAACATCAGGTATTTGCTTGTTGACACCGTGTCCATTGACCAAAATTATGTTAACAACAATTTGTTTTGCATCCATATTAAAATACATGGATAATTTTAATTAGCTTATAATTATTATTATTTTCCAGATAAAAAATATTTATCATTGTTTTTTATTTAAACAACAGACTGTGAGGCAGTATTTTGATACCTGTACAAATGTTACCCATGGAGTGAAACTGTGGGAATGTTAGCTGATATCTCTCCAAGCAAACAAATGAACAAATGAATTATTTTGATTTAGACAATCAGCCTCTGATTAAGTAAAATAATCAATAACATTAAAATGAGCTTAAATTTCCAACATGATTGCTGGTGACTTTCTAATATGTTTGTCTGTAAAAATATTGTGTCATTTTTAGATTTTCTTTAATACTTTTTATCTTGACATTTTTATATGAAACCAACTGTAGTGAAACGCTTGGTTTAATCCAAACAAAAATATATATTTGTTAAAAGACATATAACAAGTGACACATGTCTTTTTCACACAAAAACAAGTGACACATGTCTTTTATTTTTACTAACAATAGTATGCCTGTTATCACCACATGCTAATAACTTCCTCTGTCAACACAATAAATGAATTCCCAGAATTAGTTGACAAATTCCAGACGCAATTGCTTGTAAATAGCTCATTAATGGGCCGCAGCTCAAAGGCTTGTATGTATTTGGTCAGGAGGTCCTGAACGGTCATCATTTAAACTCAATAAACACACTGGAGGGTCTACATTGTTTCCCATCCACGATTTAAAGGGATAGTTCCCCCAAAAATAAAATGAATTTCATTTACTCATTTAGTCACTCGCTTAGTTCCTTTTTTCATCAGGGGTCGCCACAGCGGAATGAATGGCCATTGATATCCATTAGAGGTAAAAAAATAAAAACCTTGAGTACATTTCTCATTATTATTCATAGCGGAGATTTCTTATCCTATGAGAAGAGCCTGCTTCTTAATTCTTCATAAAAAAAAGAATTGGGATCAGAAGACATGGGATCAGCTTTCACTGCTATGCAGATGATACTTATTTATATATTTCAACTAAACCTGATGAGATGTCTAAACTGTCTAAGCTAACTGAGTGTATTAAAGATATTAAAGACTGGATGACCAACAATTTTCTTCTCTTAAACTCAGACAAAACAGAATTATTACATATTGGGCCTAAATCCTGTACACAGTAGATACACAAGTATCTGTACAAGTAGAGGGATACAAAGTTAGCATTAGCGCTACTATAAGAGATCTGTGTGTCATATTAGACAGCAATTTAACTTTTGAAAACTATATATCCCATGTTACAAAAACTGCTTTCTTTCATCTGAGATATATCGCTAAGTTACGAAGTATGCTATCCAAAAGCTAGTCCATGCTTTTATCACGTCTAGGCTCGACTTCTGTTTGCTGGGTGCGCAGCATCCTTTATTAACAAACTTTAGCTATTACAAAATGCAGCTGCCAGAGTTCTTACCAGGTCAAAAAAATATGATCATATCACCACAATTTTATCCTCCTTACACTGGCTGCCTGTTAAGTTTCGTATTGATTTTAAAATATTGCTTCTTACCTATAAAGCTGTAAAAAATCTAGCTCCTGTTTATCTAACCAACCTTTTGTCTCGCTACAATCCAACCTGCTCTTTAAGATCTCAAAACTCAAGGCTTCTGGTACCTACAATAGCAAAGTCGAGTAAAGGAGGTCGAGCCTTCTCATTTATGGCTCCTAAACTCTGGAATAGCCTTCCTAATAATGTCCGAGGCTCAGACACACTCTCTCAGTTCAAAACTAGATTAAAGACCGATCTTTTTAGTAAAGGACACACTAAGTGCATCACTTAGCTGTATGATACATAAATGTGCTCCACGCAGGTTTTTGAATCTCGTTTATATGCACTATAAACAGAAGCTACGCTAATTATTCTCTTTATACTTTATTTTTACCTGGGGATACTCATCCCGAGGCCCTCAGACTATGCAACGCCACTGATTCAATCCAAGACCAGCGACGAGAAGATCCCAAGGTTTACATACCCTGGACCAGACCGTATCCTGAACAACTGCTGTGGTGGTCATGGAGGAGTGGAGAGCATGAGACTGATTCCTGTGACGCTCCAGGGACAGACGAGTCTTAGCTGAGGTCCAGCTTTCTCCAGCCTCCGGTGCCTAGACTGCAGCTCTGCACAAGATGTTTGGCCATAGGAGAAATGGTCATGCCCAACTGGGCCTGGTTTCTCTTTTTTTACTTTCACCAATTGGTGAAGGTTTTTTTTCAGCACTGGCTTGCACGGTTCGAGATCTGTAGAGCTGCGCATCGATGGATTTGCTCTATAGTGTTTGGACTCTCAGTAGTGATTATTAACCA